AATGTGGCACTAAAAGGAACCAGGGCTCCTTGGAGAAGTGACTGATTCCAGGGCTGAGCAGAGATAAAATAGTACTCAAAGAAGGATGGGAACATGTCAAAATGGCACAGAAGCCAGCCTGAGGGAATTCTACTGGCCAACTCTAGGACAATATGAACTTAATTTAAGATAAATAATGATAGTGAACAAAATAGGAATCCTTGAGTCTACATTGATATAAATAAATTCATAAACTTAAAGTTTGATGAGGAATAGGATAGTAGCCACATAATTTCAAAGTACCTCTCCACAAAATACTTCTAAATACAAATAGAAAAAATAATAAGGTAGAAGACACCAGTTTAATTAAGTGATCAAAGTGAACATCATCAGTAATGGGACAAATGGAATCATGTGCCACACAACAATGCGATGAGAAAAACAGGCTCATTTGTGTGATACCACAGATTGAAGAACTGTTCCAGATTGAGGGAAACTAAAGAGACATGACAATGTGATATGACTTTTGCTATAAAGGATATTATTGGGACAACTAGTGAAACTAATGCAATCTATGGATTAGACGGTAGCAATATATCAGTGTTAATTTCCCAAATTTGATGACTGTACTCCAGTTATACAGTGTCCTTGTTTGAAGGAAATACACACTAAAATATTTGGTGCGACGGAGCATCATGTCAGTGACTTACTATCCATTTGTTCAGGAGAAAAACATTTGGCCCTTCATACCCGTGGGTTTGTAAATGTAAAATATGTTTACATTGTCTTAGGTATTACAAATAATCTAGAGATGATTTAAAGTATATGGGAGGATATGTGTAGGTTATATGCAAATACTGCACCCTTTTATATAAGAGACTTGAGCATCCGTGGAGTTTGGTATCCATGGGGGTTCCTGAAACCAATCCCCCACAGATATGGAGGAATGACTGTTCTTTTTACTATACTTACAAACTTTTCTGTAAGTTTGAGGTTGTTTCAGGTTTTTAAGAAAACACAATATGCAGTAATTGCAACTTTGATCACAAAATCTGATTTTCATTAAGACACGCCTTACTAACAAAATAATAGATTTCAAAGGAATTACCTACTCTGACATACATGTGAAATCTGCAATTAAATGTTTCTGTAATACAAAGAAAATATCAACATTATTTATATACTAACCGGAAACCTTGAAAAAATCATAATTATAGGTATAAATATCAAAGAGAAATGTATCCTTCAAAAAATTAAACATAGAGTTTTTATGTGACCCAGCAGTTCCACTCCTAGGTATATACCCCAGAATATTCAAAACATGTGTCCACAGAAAAATTTATATACAAATGTTCATAGTGGCATTATTCATAACAGCCCAAAACTAAAACATCCCAAATGTCCATCATCAGATGAATGGATAAACAAAGTTTGGTATATCCATGCAATGGAATTATATTCATTAATAAAAAAGAACTACCAACACATGCTATAACATGGAAACCTTATATGCTAGGTGAGATAAGCCAGACACAAAAGGTAACATAATGCATGATTCACTTATATGAAATGTTAGAATAGGCAAATCCATATAGACAAACAACAAATTAGTGGTGGCCAGGGGCTGAGTGGAGAGAGGAATGGAGAGTGATAGCTAATGGAGACAGGGTTTCTTTTTGGGATGATGAAAATGTTCTGGAATTAGATAGTGATGACAGTTGTGCAACTCTGTGAATATAAACCACTTTAAAAGAGTGAACTTTGTGTGAATATTGTAGTAAATAATAAAAATAAATCCAATGAAAGTTTGATCTAGTATTCTACAAGATAAGAAAAACATTTAAATTTAATATCAAAAGTTTTAAAAATATGGCAAAGACTGTAAATTTCTCCCAGAAGCCAACATTACCTAGAATGCTGTTCCCTTAAAAAAAAGGAATTCTACACCTATATACTAGCAACAAATAGATTAAAAATATAAATTTTAATATTATACCATGCAATGTACCTAGGAATAAATCTTCAACAAATGTACATTACCATTATGGATAAAATTATAAAAAATTATTAAAAGGCCTTAAAGAAATGGATATTAAATGGAAAGTTTTATTTAACAGATTCCAAATCAGGAGAACTCAGTATCATAAAGCTAGCAATCCTCGCCAAGTTGACCTGTGCAATTTAAGTCTGATTCTAACATACATGAAAAGGATTGGCCAAGGCAGTTACTGAACAATGCAGTTAGAGTTCACTATCAGATTTTATGGATTATTATAAAGCTATAGTTTAATTAAAACCAGCTGTATTAGCCTGAGTTTAGATCAGTTTAGAGAGCCCAGGAAAAGACCCTTTCATATTTTAAAACTTAATCTATAACAGAGGTAAGATAGCAAAATCAGTGGGGAAAGGATGCAACAATACTACTGGAAATGATACTGCCTTCTATGGAAGAAGTTGGAAACGTGTGTACATTTTTAGTGATCATAATGGCCAGGGGGTGCTACAGGTATTTAATAGGCAGGGAACATGAATACTAAACATCCTGCTACACTTCTGTACAACAGCCATACCCAAAATGCCAAAAATGCACTTGCTTAGAAATCCTGAACTACTCAGTACATGGTGCTGAAACAATTCACTGTCTGAATGAAAAATTAAAATTATGATCCATATACCACATACAAAAAACAATTCCAGGGGGATTAAAGACACAAGTGTGGAAATTGTGAAAGTTACAGAAGCCACATACCTGGAAAAGATATTTGCAATACATTTAATAAAGAGGAGGAGGGTATAGCTCAGTGGTAGAGTGCATGCTTAGCATGCACGAGGTCCTGGGTTCAATCCCCAGTGCCTCTTCTAAAAATAAATAAATAAATCTAACCCCCCCAAAAAAAACCTAAAAAATTAAACCTCTAAAAAAAAATAAAGGATGAGTATATCAGTGATTAATTGCATTTAGTTACTACTAACAAAAACAGTAACAGTGGCTTCAAGAGATAAAAGTTTATCTTTCTCTCATAAAAAATTAATCTAGGGGTAGGCATTAAAAAGCTGATGTGATGTCTCCATGGATACCAAGGACTCTATTTCTTCTATCACTTCCATCCTCAATGATGCTTTATGGTCTAAGACGGCTGTTTTACCTTTAGTTATAGTTCCATGTTCCAGGCAGTAATTAGGAGTAAGGGGGTAAATGGAAAAAATGGCATTCCAGAAAGCCCCATCTCCTGACTTATTGTACAATTCATTAGCTACCTTTACCTGTAGTAGAGGTTAGTAAATAAATTTTCAACTGGGTACAATACCAAAAGTTCTGTCGTTCTATAGGGAGAATGGATATAACGCAGCTACCTTAGAGTCTCTACGTATCTGGAACAGGGATCAGCAAACTATGGCTAGTGGGACAAATCCAGCCCACAGCCTGTTTTGTAAATAAAATTTTATTGGAACACCATCATGCCCATTTATTTACATATTGCCTGTGGCTGCATTCTCACTGAGAGCTGAGGGTCCTGCCAGTCTTCAAAGCCTGAAATATTTACTATTTAGTCTTTTACAGATAAAGTACACCTACCACCCCTAATCTAAAAGATAAAGAACTGCTACCAATTACTTTGAAAATAATAAGCAAATACATAAATGAGTATGAAATATAAATAGGCAATTAACAGACTACAAATATGTGCAACATCATGTCTGAACTCTCCAAACAACGCTGATCAAAAGAAGCCAGATATAAAGAATTCATATTGTAGGATCCCATTTATATGAAGGGCAAGAACAAGTAAAACTGGTGACAGAGGTCAGAATAGTGATTATCTCTGGGGTTGGGAGAAGGCATCTAGGAGCTTTGTGGGGGTCCTGACTGTCTATATCTTGATCTGTGTACTGTTTTCATACACACACACACATACACACATGCATGTAGGAACACACAAAATGTAGGTTATGCAATTTTCTGTAAGCTGTGCAACATTTTTTTCTAACCAACCCCACTGCATCAGATACCTTTTTAAAAAAACTTAAAAGTCTGTCAAACATGAAAAAGTTTGATAATTCACTGTTTCGGTCAAAAGTGCAGGAAAATAGGCCCTTTCATATGTTCCTGGTGAGAATGTAGGTTTGAATAACTTCTACAGAGGTAAATTTGGTTAACAACTTTCAAAATTACAAAAGCATATATCTTTTGAGCAGCATTCCACCTCTACAAATTTATTCTCAGATATAGTTATATTTATGTAAAATATATATACAGAGTTATAAATGCAAATTTTTTGTAATAACAATGGCTATGCAACTATTAAAGAACTATCGTTAACTGGAAAAACAAATGGCCCTGGATAGTGTATAATGACAAATGTAAGGTAAAAATAAAAAAAATTAAAATGTACAAAGTTAGCAAAGAAATCAAATTTGTAAAAAAGAATTCCTGTCTGGTTCCTTATTTTTTAATTGAAATAGCTTTAGTGGTTTTTGCCATTTAAACTGATATCTGCTATTTAACTGGCAAATAGTCATTTCAGGTTTCAAGGGTTTGTGTGTGTGTGTGTATATATATATATATATGTGTGTGTATATATATGTAAAATAAAATTAGAGCCATATCGTACATACTATTTTTAAGGTGCCTTTTTTCACTTAACAATATATCATAAACATTTTCCAAGTCTATATGGCTTAGTAATAAACTTTCAAAAACACTTTAAATAACGAGGTATTAGTAGTGGAGTCTGCATTAGTGGACTGACACAGCAAAAGGAGCAGATCCAGGACCCAGATCCACAACAACCTGCAATTGTTTAAGCCAAACACTAAGCATCTCTAAGGATCAACTACTACATCCATAAAACAGTAAATACTGAAAGAGGGTGAAGACTAATACTTCTTTACGGCCATTTTAAAGGGTAAAGAAACAATGTAGGAGAAGGAAGGAATGAAATATACTGACAAAATTGACAAATCCTAACTCCCAGAACAGTCTCCCAAGCACTCCGTCAGACCAATAACATAAAACTCACACCATATCCCCAGGAGAAGTCCGAGCTGCCTTCAGTAGAGATCCCTGTGCCTGTATAACTTGGAAAAGCAGACCTTGAATTTCCAGTGTCAGCTGATGTAAAAGGTGATTCTTGTGTGATGTCAGACTCACTAAATGCACAATTTGGAAGGAGAAGAGAAAACAGAAAAATTCTTATATTTCCTCAAGTTTCTGCAGCATTAATTACTTAGCATTTTATTAGGTGATAAGCATGTATACAAATACATCCACAGAGGCAAAAATAAGTAAAGAACTTGAAATGTAAGCATCATGGAAAAGTCCAACCTAATTCCTAGAGAACTGATGGCAGCTATTCTAAATAATTCTAGTTTAATAATACTTTATGGATTCTAGTCTACAATGAATACTTTAACATTCCACTTATAACCTCTACCCTTGCAAACTACAGACATTTCAGAAGTATTAATAGTGTCTAAACTTATATGGCACTTTTACAGTTTACCAAGCACTTTTACAGATAGTAACCCCATTTTATCCTCACAACAACCTAGTGATGTAGAACTCAACTCCTTTTTTAAGACAAAGAATCTGAAATTTAGTTCTAGGTTTTGAAACTGGGTCTTAAGAGTATAATTTTTCTATGATACCACACTTTGTTTCTCAGAACCCTCTGAGAAGTTAGTCTCCTCTGTTCTATTTTTAAAATAATAACTGCCGTTAATGTTTACTCAGCATTTACTATACTTTATTTCATTTATATTCACAATACGCTTTAAGATATACTATTATCAGGTAAGTGGTTTGCTCAGTGTTACTCAGCTAATAGGTAGCAAAATCAGGATTAAAAATCAGATCTGTTGGATTCCTCCTGAGTCTGTGCTTTTAACTACTTCATAATACCGTTTTTCAAAAGTTATAAAATAAGTATGATGTTTCCATTAGCTGTTCCAAAATGAAAGTTGAGGGGTACTGAAAATGTGATAAAAAAAATTCTTGTTTTGTTTCATTAGTACAAGGCTTGATACCAATCCTAAGATTGAAAAAAGAAAACTTGTTATTATCAAGTGCAATACACAAGCAAGTACACTCTGTTTTATTACCTTTGGGAACTTATGTCTTTTTCATGGCTGTCATTGGTAGAGGAAATTTCATCCAGCTGCTCTGGAAGGGGATGATGATTAAGAGCATGTTTTGCTATTCCTTTCCTGTGAAAGAGAAAATCAAAGTTATATTTCCTGTAAAGATAAAATATAAACTTTTCAGTAACTTGATCTACAAGTTAGTCCACCTCCTTCTTGCTGTCCTGGAACTGCACTGTCCAATACAGTAGCCATTAGCCACTAGCAGTTAAAATGTGGTCAGCTGAAAATGAGATGCACTTTTAAGTGTAAAACACATAGAATTTCTAAGTTCTAGTACAACAAGAATGTACAATATATCATTAATTATTTTATCTTGATTACATGTTTAAATGATAATAGTTTGGATATATTTGGGTGAATCAAATATATTCTTAAAATTAATTTCACTGCAAACTGAAAATATAATAAGATATAAACACACACCTATTAGAACAGCTAAGATAAAATATGGTGATAACACTAAATGCAGGCAAGGATGTGGAGAAACTGGATGTCTCATACATTACTAGTAGGAATATTAAAGTTGTACAGCCACTCTGGAATAGTTCCACAATTTGTTAGAAAACTAAACACATGCATTTATTCTAGACCTAACCTAGCCATTTGCACTCTTGGGCATTGATCCCAGAGAAATGAAAATTTCTGTTCCCACAGAATTTGTACACGAATGTTCACAGCAGCTTTATTTATAACTGAAAAAAAAAATTAGAACAACTGGAATGTCCTTTGACAGGTGAACTAAGGTTAAACTGTGGTATATTCACACAATGGAACATGATTCAGCAATAAAAAGGAGTGGACTGGTACATGTAACAACTTGGATGGATTTCAAGGGCATCATACTTAGTGAAAAAAGCCAAGCTCAAAAGGTTACATACTATATGATTCCATTTATAAAACATTCACAAATGATAAAACTATAGAAGTGGAGAAAAGATTAGTGATTACCAAGGTATGGAGAAAGGCATGGATGGAACAGCTCTCTGTCTTGTTTGTACTAGTAGTTACATAGATCTATAAATGAGACCAAATTGCATAGAACTATGTACACGTATACACACACAAAGAAATAAATATAAAAATTGACAAAAACTGAGTAAGGTTTATAGTCTATTTAACAGTACTGTATCAGTGTCAGTTTCCTGGCTTTGAAATAAGTTACATAAGTTGTCATCACTGGGAGAAGCTGGGGGAAGGGTTCATGGGACTCTATGTACTATTGTTGTAACTTCCTGTGAGTCCATAATTATTTCAAAATAAAAAGGTAAAGTTAATTTCACCCATTTATACTATTTTTTAATGTGACTACCTGAAATTTTTAAATTATATTTGTGGCTTCTATTATATTTCTTTTGGACAGTGCTATTCTACAGAGTTTAACATGTGCATTAGAATAAACTATGGGGTCAATTATTGTAAGTTCCAGTTCTAATCATCTATAGTAGACTTTCCTTCCGCACAAAATTCTACACTCAAATAACATAATACATTAAAGAAAGTTACACAGATATCTTTACAAGAGGTCTTCCCAGGGCCTTTAATATGCAAATGTACATGAGAAATCTAATACTCTTATTTCACAGGAAAGGAAAGTGAGGCACAGAAGGATTAAGTAACCTGCTTAAGGTCATATGGCTAGAAAGTGATGGAGCCAGGATTCAAATCCAGGTAGTCTGAGGCTTCTTAGAGCAAATGAGTAGTCTGAGATTTCAGTGACTTGTATCATTTTTATATATAAAAGATAAATCTAAAAACCTAGTCAGCAGAGCTTGTACTTTAAATTATTTCTTAAATGGTGAGGATGGATTTGTGCAGAGCTATTTGTACTTCTCTCATTCAATGATCCTACACCAAAAGCTTGTCTTTGAGACAGTGGTGGGTATCAGAAATGTGAATTCCAGCTAAGAAATAGAAACTTAAGACAATTATAGTCTGTCGAAGACATCTGGTTATGAAGTGACAGTTAGATAACCAAAGAAGTATTAAATTTGATCATACCCTTATGGTTACATAAGAAAATGTCTATAATTTTTAGAAATACATAAAGAAGGATATGGGGGGAAATAGTGTCTGGGGTTTTCCTTCCTTATTTCACATATGACAGAGAGGCTGAAAAAATACAGAAGAAAGATGAAGCAAATATATTAAACTTTTGATAACTGTTGAATGAAGGTGACAAATAGGTCATTATATTATTCACTATACATTTATGCTTGAGATGTATCATTTTCAAAATGTTAAGCTGTATTGTGAAAATCACTTTTTTTCAAACTCTTCTCAGTATCTATAATTTGGAACTACTAGAGAGAAAACTAAAGTTACTTCAACAGAGCAAATTATCATTATAACACCTAAAGTAAAAATTGTTTTTAATATAGTTATTCAGATGCATATAATTTTCATTATCTTCATTATTCACATTATTCTGATGCTTCTAGAGAATCATCCTTTAGCAGAGTTATCTTTACAATCGACAATAGAGAACAAGTAACCTAACTATACTTGGTCCATAATTTTGGCCCAGTTAGTGCCGATCAACAGTTTTTTCCATAAAGGATATTTTTTAAATTCTCAGAATGGTCAGAGTTAATTATAAAAGCAGATTTTTAGCTAAGCCTTGTTTGCTTTATTGGGAAATGACTGTCTTCTTCCTAGTTCGTAAAAAGCTTATTATCTAAATTGCTTCTGTGTCCTATCCTATACTTGGTAGATAATAAGCTTCTGAAAGGCAAGGAAAGATCATAGACTGATTTTCTTTGTATGACTGTTGTACCAAGTAAAGGTGGGAAAGGACAAGGAAATTACCATTTCCCGGGGAGTAACCATGCCTCAAGCCCTGTGCCATCACTTTAGATATGCTTTTTTAGATAAGGTCTTATTCCTATATTACAGAAATGAAGGCTCAAAGGTTTAGCTATTTGCCTAAAATTCACAAGGCTTGAAAAGAGTCTAGCCAGAAATCCAGATGTGACTGGAAATACCATGCCTGTTATTACCATATATAATTAATATTTAATTAATAAATATATGGTTGCTAAAATTATATAACTATGTGGAGGAAAAAAATTGGGATTTGGGGTTTAAAAGCCCAAGCTCAAAACCTACTGGTTATATAATCTTAAGATGTGTACCTTTTCTGATCAGCTGAAAAACTGGATAACCATACCCATCTTACAGAGTGGTTACAAGGATCAAGATGTGAAAGTCTTTTTGAAAGTGTAAAGCATTAATAAGTGTATGACATTATCATTATCTGTGAAATTACAACGCTTCACTAGGGGTGGGAGGTGGGTCTTTAAACCGGAAATATTTGCTTTCTAAGTCTTAAAAGCAAACTGATCCTTAAGGATTCCGACGCTTAACTGCAGGGGAGGCAGTATGTATAATGGTTATGATCACAAGCTTCAGAATCAGGTTGACAACATGTTTGTACTTAAGTTCCACCACTTTCTGGCTATGTGATCTCCAGCATGCTACATTCTTTAAACCTGGGATCTTTATCAGTAGAAAGTGCAAAATAATAGTTCCTATGTGGTATCTTTATTGATAGGTCTAAGTGAACTAATGCGTGTAAGCAGCTTTGCAAGTTCCTTGGCACAAGACATATTAAACTTTGTTGTAGCACTCAGCTATGAATAGCTTTAAGAGTCGTGAATGACCATTGGTAGTGGGACGTGAAACCTCCGCCGAAATTGCAAATGCCTTAGAAAACCCAGTCCCTGAGTTCAAGAAATGCAGCCCAAGAGAGCCAAGTCCTGGGACAGCACAGAGAACATGCCCTTAGCTGGAGATGGAGATAGAAGGGGCAACATCCGGCAAGGCTGGGAGGAGAGAATTCCGAGGAAAATTTTCTTTCCTCAGCCCTGGGAAAGGAGAAAGGATCAAGGGACTGATCAGGAAGGGTCCCCAAAGCGCCTGCAGCCCGCCTCGGCCTCCCCCGGTCCCGGCTGGGATGGGTGAGCCGTCCACTCACAGCTCCAACTTCTGTGGCACCGCCTTCCGAGTGTATCTGGAGATCATCCTCCTCTTCCTCCTCAGCCGCGGCCGGGGCAGATACGCCAGGGTGGGGGCCTCCGGGCCTGGCCCTCCCGCCGGCTCCGGCTGGGCCCCCTCCCGCCACCTTCCAGCCCCGTCACGCCCCGTCGCCTAGGCGCCGGACTGCCACTTCCCTAGGGTCCCTCGCCTCTCTAGCCCTCCGCCCTCCCTGCTTCGCCCGGGGCGGAAGTGACGAAGGCACAGGGGCACCCGCCTAGTGCTCCCGCCGACGCGCAGCAGTGACGACGCCTGCGGTTCCGGGGCTGAGCCGGTTTCTGACTTCCAGAGTTTCCGTCGGCCTCGGGTCCCAGACAAGCGTGTGGACCCAGCCCGAGGCAGGCTTTGGCTGCTGCTGGCAGCTCCCGACCTGCTCACGAGGTAGGAAAGGCAGCTGAGGAAAGTACCGCAGCAGAGACGCGCCGGAGAGGCCCAGGCCCCAGAGCCGTGAGCGGAATTGGCTCATTTTGTCGCATGGAGAGAGCCTAGTCTGAGTAAAAAGCGCTAGACTCCAGGTGGGGCCTCTGCTGCTTTTTCGCTTCTCTTGTGCCCCCAGTTTTCTCAAGTGTACAGTGAGGAATTAGACGGGGTGCTTTCAAAGTCCTTTCCAGTTCTGGCACCAAATTCTTAACAATGTGTGCTTGGCATTATGGGGTGGGTGGGTAGGCCAAATGATGGTTTGGACAGATTGTAGTGAGTGAGGGTCTGGATGGAAGATGTAAATTCTTTTCGACCTCGTTTTATTAGTCCCATGGAAAACCAAGTAAGCCAATCGCAGCCTTAGAGGGGACCCTCCAGTGTAGTGTCTTCCTTTACCAAGCTTCATCTGGCAGCAGTAGTAAGCTAGTCCTTTTGTTTGTAAGGGAAACCCCTGGTAAATAGATATTTTCCACCTCCTAAGGTACTAGAGCTATACCCCCTGAGATCGGAAAAAGGGGAAGAATTTAGAACAGATAGTTGTAGGGTCAAGAACCATGGGCAGGTTATTTTGGGGTGAATGGTAGGACATGAATGTTTTGTAGTTTTGAATTCCCCTATGCCATGCAATGGGAAAGATTTAAATTCTGCAGAGTAAGGGCAATCTTTCTTAAAGAGCATTTAAATAATAAAGACTCAAGGAGGGTGGGTATAGCTCAGTGGTAGGGTGTGTGCTTAGCATGCCTGAGGTCTTGGGTTTAATCCCCAGTACCTCCTTTAAAAAATTTAAATTAGAGAAGGATTTTAGAGATGAGAGAGTAACTCTCATTCTACAGTTAAGGAAAAAAAGCTCAGAAAGAGAAAGTGAAATGCCCAAATTGAGGCAGCTGGGACTAATTGCAGAACTGGGACTTTTGATAGTATCTCAACAGAAGATGTTACTGCAGTGTTTCTTAAAGTGTGGCACACCAGTGCAAGGGCAAACATTTTTAATTTTATTCTTAAATACCTATTAGTTAATTTGGGAATGTACTGGATTTCCATTTACTGTATTATATCAAAAGTTCCTTTAATATAATTGTAAGTATAAAAATGTCATTAAAACAATGTTAAAGAAATGTTACCATAGTTGATATGTGGTCAAGGCAAAAATCATGATGATCATATGTGGATAACTGAATTTTGAAAAACAACGTTAATTAAATTGCCTAGGATAGCTCAGGGAATAGGATATTACTTCTACGTTATTCTATATCATTTATATTATTGACACTTTCAATGTAGTTTTCAAGGAAGAATGGAGGAAAATATGAAGCTTGCTACAGTGGAAGACACTGTAGAGTACCGCCTGTTCCTGATACCAGATGAACCAAGGGACCCAGAGGAACACAAAGAGATTCTTCAAAAGTATATTGAGAAGATAATGACCCAGTTTGCACCTATGCTGGTCCCCTATATCTGGCAGAATCAGCCTTTCAATCTTAAATATAAACCGGGGAAAGGTAAGGCTCTTTTGCTCATTTTCATTTAATATGTGTGACTGGTAATGTCATTCTGACAACAGAGGTGTGTAATAGTCTATAGTTCATTCAGTGTTGTCAAGAGACTTACATCCTGAACTTCTTAGATTAGTGATGTTTGTCTATACTCAGTTAAGCCCTTAAGCTTAAAATTTTTTTAAAATTCATATTGATAAAAACTTTCTAATAGTCATTACCTTAGGAACTAATATATACTCAACGTTATTAAACCATGGCTTTTCTTTTGAACTTTAATTAATTTACTATACCATGATGTATCTAGGTACCGATACTAAACAGGTTCAGACATCTGGTTTCCTTAACCAGAGTTCCTTTAGCTGTTACTCTGTATTCCTCAGTCTTGACAATGTGTTTGTTAGGCTGCCTTGTTTTGCATAGTTGTTTTGGGAAGGATCTAAGAGTGGCTCTGCCTGGCTTATAAAGAGAAATAATTGGGCTAGCCGACCATAATTCTCCCCTCAGAAGCATTTTAAGATTCTTTCACTACTTCCCTGTGTTGTCGGTGCTTGAAATCTGACTTCTGGCCAAAAATGCCACTTTGTCCTATCTTATAACTGTACTAAAATGAATCATCTATAGGTGACCAAGTCTCTATTCATGCAGTGACTTATGTGGGGGCTTGTTTCAGATCAGGAGCCTGGCATCTTGAGATAACATCGTTCTAGCTCTTGATTTAGGACTTATCTGTTATCTTTTGGCTAGCAGTTGCCAGATGTCTTCCTTACTGTTAATTTTATTGAACTCCTAATCACTGAAACATGTGATATTTATTGGCAAGAACACTGTCATGTTAGCACAGCACATCTAAAACCAATTCCTTATCTTTCTTCTGTTAAGTCATTTTTACATGGTGTTTTCTTGTCTTGCTCAATGGCATTGCTATCCACCTAGTTATCAAGCTTGCTAGTGTTTCAGAATCATATTCAACTCCTCACTTCACCATGATCAGTCAGTCACTAAATCCTGGTGTGACTACTCCTAAAATATGACCCCTTCTCTACATCTGTTTGGCTGCAGTCTAGGCTCTCTTGATCTCTTCATCTAGAAGACTACAGTAGCCACCTAGCCAACCTGTCTGGTTCCTGTGTCTCCAGTTCCTCACACTGTTGCCAGTTACCTTTGTAAAATACAAATTTGATCAGATCACTCTCCTGCCTAACATCCTTCAACAGTTCCACATTGCTTCTGGATGAAATTTGAATTGAAGTTTAATATATAAAGTATTGGAGGTTCTAATTGGAGGTTCTCTGGTTAAAGAAACTTGGGAGATTTACAGTAGGAAGAAGAGTTAGTTGGGCTGTTCTTCCCACCTGGTTTTTTGTTTGTTTTGTTTTGTTTGTTTTGCCATGGCAGCTCTTGAGACACTCCACAGTATACCTGGTTGACCTCCATTCTGTTAATCTGATCTATTACATTGGTTGGTTTTCATATGTCAAATCATCCTTGCATTTTAAGGATAAATCCCACTTGGTCATGGTGTACAGCCCTTTTAATGTGTTGCTGAGTTCAGTTTGCTAGTGTTTTGTTGAGGATTTCTGCATCATCATTCACCACGGGTATTGGTCTGTAGTTTTCTTGTGTATTTTTCTGGCTTTAGTATTAGGGTAATTAATGCTGGCCTCATAAAATGAGCTTGGAATGTTTACTTTTTCTTTGTAAGAGTTTGAGGAGAACTGATGTTAATTCTTCTTTAAATGTTTGGTAGCATTCTCTAGTGAACTCATCTGGTCCTGGGCTTTTTTGTTGTTGGGAAGTTCCTGACTATTAATTCAGTGTCCTTACGTGTTATAGATCTGTTCAGATTTCCTATTTCTGCATGATCCAGTCTTGATAGGTTGTGTGTTTCGAGGAATTTATACATTTCTTATAGGTTATCCAGTGTGTTGGTATGTAATTGTTCATAGTGTTCGCTAATAGTCCATTTTATTTCTGTGGCATAGGTATAATATCCCTTCTTTCATTTCTGATGTTAGTTATTTGGGTCTTCTCTCCTTTTTTAGTTACTCTAATATTTTGTCAATCTTGTTGATCTTTTCAACAAACCAACTCAGTTTTGTTAATTTGTTTCTATTTTGCTGTTCTCTATTTCCTTTATCTCTGCTCCAATCTTCATTATTTCCTTCCTCTAACTTTGGGTTTAGTTTGTTCTTTTTCTTGTTTTTTAAGGAATAAAGTTAGGTTTTTGATTTGAGATTTTTTATAACTATGAACCTCCTCTTAGCACTGCTTTCACTGTATCTCACACATTTGGTATGTTGTGTTTCTGTTTTCACTTGTCTCAGGATGTTTTCTAATTTCCCTTGTGATTTCTCCTTTGAACCATTGGCTGTTTCAGAGTGTATTGTTTGAGTTCTACATATTTTTGGATAATGTACTTGTTTGAAAATTTATGCTGATATCCCCAAAATACTCCATTGTCTGTCATGCCTCTGTGCCTTTGCACATGCTGTTCTCTCTTTCTGGAAAGCCTACTTCTGGTCATTCCTCCAGATAAGCATAGCTCAGATAGCACATACTTGATATTCACATCGTCCTCAGTGCATACCTCTGTTCATCATCTTGTTTTGAGATGCTTGGTTGTCTGTTTCCTGTCATCGAATCCCTAAGCTGCTCAAGAGTAGGCTTCTTGTATGTTGTTTTGGATTGCATCCCCAACTTCCAGTATAGTACCTAGAGCATAGGCAGTCAATGAATGTTTGTTTAATTGAATAACTGCTTATATTTTTATTTGCACTGATAAATTTATTTGGTTATATGATTGCTTTTCTCTTGTTTTTAGGAGATGTTCCTGCTCATATGTTTGGCATGACAAAGTTTGGGGATAACATTGAGGATGAATGGTTTATTGTTTATATAGTAAAACGAATTACCAAGGAATTTCCAGAGTTAGTAGCAAGGTATTATAGTTATTTTAATAGTTTTGAAGGAATTCTGTTATTGAAACTGACATTTTTTCCCACTTAGTAATATTTTTTTCTGCAGTCTGGTGGAAACTGTACAAATTTGGGACATAGATTTCAAAAGTGATTTCTGTGTTTTCTTCCTTTTCTCTTGTGACTTCCTTTTTTTGAGGAGGGATTAAAATATCACTTGGGCATTCAACTTCCAAAAAAATTTGAACAAACTTGCTTATTTTAGGTTTTCTCTTTTTTTATGCCTGTTATGAGAGAACAAATACACATGGTAAATAAAATCCAAACAATACAAAAG